TTATTAATTTGAGTTACTCATTTATTTATCCAATAAATATTGAGCACTTACTATGTGTGAGGTCCTGTACTATGGATGAAAAATGAAATCAGAGGTGCCAATGTATGCTTTAAAAGGCACATTAGTAAGTCCCTGGTTCCCACCTCTGCTACTCTTAATATGAACAATTAATCAGGAGGAAATCAGTGGGTAAAAGGGCTACTTTGTCCTTTAAAATGCTGGGAGTCTTAAAGCTACTGGAACCCATGAGTAAATAGACCAATTAAGAAACCCTCCAGACAACTGAAAGCAAATAAGAAGACAATCTTAGTTCGTAGCCTAGGTGCTAGAGTGCTATGAAAACGTGAGGGCATTCTGTTCGTTTTAACCAGACACGTCTATTGCTTGGTTAACTGAAGAATCATTCCAAATTATAAGGCCTTTGGGGTGAGCCCCCAAAGATGTAGATGAAGACACACCGAGAAATCCAATTAAAAATGCAATTCAGTGGATACAAATCACACCACCACCACAAGCACCCATTTCCAACTCGCTACACTGTTATTTTTACCATATTGCAGGTAAGCGTTGTGAATTTTGTTTAGGTGAGCACCCCCAGGCCAGCAATGCAAGAAGGAATCTTTCTACCTATAACCTCTGCCCTCCCCCACCACACACACACACACACACACACACACACACACACACACACATAACCTCTGCCCTCCCCCCCCCCCCACACACACACACACACACACACACACACACACACACACACACAGCACATGCTCCTGCAAAGGGAGGCAGTATACTGAAGATATGCAGAAAGTCTGGGCTTTGTGGTCAGAGAGATCCAAGTTTATCCTAACACTTATTGGATGCATCATATGGGTAAGTTACTTAACTTCTCTGAGTCTTAGTTAGTCTCTGAGTCTTAGTTAACGCATCCTTAGCATGTGCATAATAATACCTATTTAAAGGGTTACTCTGGAATAATGAATATAGAGCACCTCACTTGGATCATGACACACAGAAGGTAATCAATAAATAGAGATTTCCACCCATCTTGTAAACTTATAGAGCTTCAGCTTCTAGATGATCTACCCTCTTCCTTGGCCCATTTCTTCCTAGCTTTTTTGGTTTGCTATTTCCTCTTCACTGGCAGATTTTGAACCGAGTTCTCGCAGTTGAAGATGTTAAGCATCTTTGATTCATTTATTAAATAAATACTCGTTAAGCACCTTCTAAGTGCAATATGCTGTATTAGGGCCAGTACCAGATACAGAGACGAATCAGATATCAACCCTACCTGCAGAATCGTTAAAATTTAGGAAGAAAGCGAAACTTGCAGTACAAAGTAAAGAGCGATGCATAATTTAAAAAAAGTAGATAAAGTGTCGTGACTCAGAAAAAAATCAGAAATTATTTCCATCTGAGGCAATCAGGGAATCAGGGGAGCCTTCCTGAAGGAAGTGCCACAGAAAATAGGCTTTTTAGAGCTTAGATGTGTGAAGATGGGTGAAGAGCATTATCAACAGAGTGACTGTGGAAAAGGGAATGTATGCAGGAAAGGAAAGGGTTTATAGAAAGAATTCCAAATAGTGTCATATGTCTGGGATATGGGGTGAGTGAAGTAAAGAAAAGACAAAGCTGAAAGGCATATTGGCATCAGACCGTGCAGGATCTTAAAAGCCAGGCTAACAAATCTGGATATCATCTGCAGACAATGGGAAGTCAGTGAGGGTTTCTAAGCAGGGAAACAATATGACCCATATGACTGGAGCTCTCTTTATCTGTTTTTCAATGTGACTAACCTGGGCCTCCCCTTACTAACGGTCTTGTGGAGTCTGCATTTCCTTCCAATGACCCTGCCTGAGCAGAACTGTCATTATTTCCACTTCAAACTGCATGCCACCTTTTCAGAGCGCTCTTAAGTTTCCCTTTGGAGTCTGAATCCATTGAGGGAATTTATGCTGATGTCACAAACAACTGGCAAGCTCTAAATCCAAAGAACAAGGCTTTCACATTCCATTCCAGGTTATAATTTCTGCCATTTTTCCATGTTTCTGTAAATAACATTATAATCACTCATCTGCACCCAGGGGAGTGGCTCTTCGGAATTTATCATTACAGGTATACAATTTTATAAAAACAGCAAGATAACTTTCAGGCATATTAACAGACAGTTCTCAAGAGGAGACATGAGATCATAAGTACTTTGGAGAATTACAAGGTAAAGTATGACCCCCAGGAGGAAGAAAAAAAACAACCCAGCTACTTCTTAATTAGTTTCTTAAAACACAACAAACCAGAGTGAGTTCCTTGTAAACCTACAGAGACAATACTGTATATCAAGCATATCCCCAATATGCCATTTATTGGAGATTATTTGTTTAGTTATCAGACCCCTCATCTAAACAATTCAGTTTAGTTTGAATGACCGACATCATCATTTCACTTATTCATCCTATTCAGAAAAAAAAAAAAATGCCAGCAAAATGCAGGAGGAGGGGAGGGATGAAAGGAATATAAGGAAGGAGAAAAGCAACTGAGAAGAAGGCAGAAAACAGCACAAATGAAATAAGGAGCAAGAGAATGAAGACTAAACCTATGCTATCTGGACAGAAGACATGCTCTGCCTGAATAAGAATGGACACAGCAGAGTGCCAGTCGTGACTGAATGAATTACCAGAGCCAATTAAATGTACTGAGAGCCCACTCTGGGCTAAGTGCTGAAAATACAAAGATGAATAAGGGAAGGCTCCTTCTCTTCACCAACTCTGAGTTTAGATGAGGAGGCTGATAACTAAACAAGTAAATTGCAATACAATGGACTGAAATGCTACAAGAAACAGAAGCTGTTGAAAAAGCTTTGAGTGCACCACCAGCAGGAGAAAGAGGATCCTTGAGAGGGTGTTACTTGTGTGCCTTTAGGTAAGTCACTGAACCTCTCTAAACCTCATCTCTAAAAAGTGCTTCTATCTAGCTGCCTCTCCCTCAAGGTTGTTTTGACATGAAATAAATTCATGATTGAAAATCCACTCTGCAAACTGAAAGCCCTATGCCAGCATAGGAGATGGCTATTTTATCCATTTGAGCAAAGGTCTATTTAGTGCTTACTTTGCGCACTAGGTACCAATACTGTGGTGTGGGGCACTGACCCCTCTCTGGATTCTCCCTGTCCCTCCACCATTCCAAGCTTTAGCACAACCAGTTTGGCTTCCCACTGTGTGTGGAAGCGCCCACAAACAGACGACCTGCAAAATACCGTTAGACACTCACCATCTTCCGGTTGCCTCCATTCTTGATGTCCACAGAAGGCAGCAGGGCGAGGGCACCCAGGGGGACTCTCTGTTGGATCTGAGCGCCCTTGGCCTCTTCCTGGCCGCCTTTCCTTCTCCCATCCTCTTGCCTCTCTTCACCAACACTTTCCTTGTTCGCTTTCTTGCCTACTTCTACCTGTTACAGATACTCTTTTTTTTTTTCCACTGCTTTACTCCCCCTCCCCCATTTGGGCATTAGCGCTTCTCCTGTTCGGGAACAGAGTCATTTCTCAAACCTCCTGGAGCATGTCTGAGGAACTGTGGAGAGGGGAGGCGTCTCCTTGAAGGCCAGTGAACCTCTGAAGCTATCTTAGAGCCCTGTCCCGAGGCTAGGACTCTTTCTAACACCCTCTCCCTTCCCCCACCCCTCTCCCTTCCCCGGTACTCCCTTCCCTCCCTCCCCCACTCTGTCCTCTCCCTCACCCTTCTTTCCCTTTGATTCTGCAACTCTCTTCCTCGTCCCCTTTCTTCTCGTGGACCCTAAGACCACGTCCCACTTATCTTTTTAGTCTCACACCCCTGCCACCCCGTACCCTCCCCACCTCCCCTACCCATCCTCCTCGGTCCCATCACCCCCCTTCTCGTCCTTTCCTCTCCCACCCCCCCTCCCCCGCTGCCTCTGGAGCGGGCGCGCTGGGACAATTGGCGAAGTTCTGCCTGACTCCAGGCCCGGGACAAGGAGCAGTTCCGGACTCTGCTCAGCAGCCGATGACGTTACTGAATTTTGCGCATGTGATTGGCTACTGACTTTGCAATGGGAGATCCTGTAAAGATTCTCAGGGCCGGTTTCTTTGTCCCTCCGTCTCTCAGGTTGAGTTGGGGAAAATAGGCCATGGAAACTATACAGCACTTCACAAAAGGGTTTAGGGGCTACACCTACTAGGAAGAGAGCCGGTGACTCAAGTCTTGGGCGTGTGTTGTGCCAGATGAGGGAGCAGAGTCAGTGATAGAAAATGGTGAGTGGGGCTGAGAGTGGAGGAGGAAAGCTTGAGAGTCGTAGCACCGGATAGATGGTAACAATCTAGGAAGGCGTGGGGTAACTTTCAACCCCAGCTGTGGTCTGTGTCTTCAGTGCTAAGGGTGTCACCTTGAAACAGAGCTTTGGATTTGGAATCAGGCATTTAATTTCCAGTCTTTGTTCCTCTGTTTGTAGGACTTTGGGCAAGTCACTTCATTGTTTCCTCTCTTCAAGGTAGAAGTGATAATACCAACGTACTTATTTAACTGGTTTATTAAAAGGATTAAATAGGAACGTACTTTTTAATTATTAAACCTGTCATTATTTTAGTAGATAATTTGGTGTAGCAGTAAGAATCCCGGATCAGGAATGAAAAGTCTTTGGTTATCTTTCCTGTTTCTGTATGACCTTCGCCAAGTCACTTTTAACCCTAGTGGGCGTCAGCGTCCTCACCTGTGAACTGGGAGAACTGGACCAGATGACCTCTAAGATCTCTGTTGGCTCTAACATTATGTGATTGACTGCCAAAGCTTAGCATCCTCCTTTAATTCACCCCTTCGGAGGAAGACTTCACTTCCTTTTTCAGGACTTGAGTTAATCTCCCCCTTTTGTGAGAAAGCCACCTTCTCTTAGGTACCCTGGTGAACCTGCTTTTCACAGGGGCCAGTCCTCTCCCCTATCCTCAACAATGAAAGTACAGATCCCAAACGGTAGCAGCTTACATGTAGGGCTCATCCTTCATGGAGACTCTCTCCCCAGGCTACTGGCAAGAGCAGAATTTGGAGCTGGGGACTCTGGCTCCACTCGAAGAGGCCATGAGCTCCACAGTCTGGAGCAGCCCTGACATGCTGGCCAGTCAAGGTGAGAATCCAGGCCCCCTCATCTCAATGTCCCGCAGTTCCCTCCGCCATCCTCACATCATCCCCCACTCATGTTGCCTCCACCCTGTGTTCTCAACTCCACTCATTACCACACAACTCTTCCCCGTCTCCATTTGACATTTTAGTGCTTAGTTCTACACCACCAACTCCTCTGGCACCTACTCCTCCTTCCCTCACTCCGGTACAGGGACCTCTGTATCCCTAACACCTTTTTCCAAAAATAAAATGATTCCAGGAGGAGTGTATTACTCAGAATAAAGAGGTTCTGGAAAGACACAATCAAGATAGAATTCTTCAAAAGGAACAATGGAGGGACAATGGGATTACCAGTCAAAAATCGGCATATGGCTAGCAGTAAATGATAGGTTTCCCAAACCTTTCGTTGAGATATTTAAGGAAGATATCATTTCCACCTTTAGTCAGCCGGCTCAGTCTCTGGCTTGCTAACATTGAAGTCGTAGTTTTGATTCTCAAGTTAGATGATTACCTGAGGCGCATTCCAGTGAAAAGAGCACTGCCTCGAGAGTCAGGATTCTAGTCCTAACTAGAATCACTGATGGGTAGAATGATCTTAAGCAATCACTTCGCCTCCATTGCCTCATTGTCTACATCTGTAAAATGAGGGAATTGGATTCCATGATCCCTAAGATCCCTATCAGTTCTAATTTTTATGATTCTAAACACTAAAACTAGCAGCCAAGCTTTGGGCTCCAATTTGGAGACAGCCACTCAGAAGCGTTGGTGTTTGGTGTCAGCTCTGGCAGGTGCCACCTTCACTCTTCAGGGCCCCTTCTCTGCTAGGAACGCTCATTGAATATTCCTTGGAAATGGAGCTCTGGTGACCAGGAAAGACAGGAATAAGCAGATAGGGCAGGGGTAAGCTTGGTGCCATAGGGAGCATGGGGATTGTTTTAAATTGCTCAATCAGGGAGTGTCGAAAGTACGTTTCTTGGTTTCTGATTCAGAGGTGACAATGCTGGTTAAGTAACTTAGTACCATAGAAGAAATTGTGTGGATGTTTCAGGAATCAGAGCTAGAAAGTGTTATTTTAGCTCTGCAGAGGTCAGTGCCATTGGGTCACAGGAAGTCAGACCTGAAGATGAGGGGATCAATATTAGGAATCAGAATCCATGCTTTGGGGAACATGGGACAACATTGGGTGGAGGAAGCAAGTGTCACACAGACTGAGGGACTCACAGCTAGGCCTGATTAGAAGGCACATTTGGGATTCAAATGACCCATCCTCACGATATCTTACTAGTCCTTCTTTTGTTTAACTTGACTAAGTAGAGAGGGATTAGAAACCATATTTCTATCACATCGAAGGGAAAACTTTAATCCATTATTCTTTAAAATAACGTCAGGATAGTGATTTGGGTTTGTGTGTTGATTTGGGAGGCGGGTAGTACTGATACTGAAAGGAATATGTTAAGGGAGCTGATGGTTGAAGGGAAATTATTGTTGGAGGAATTGAAAAGTCTGTGTGAAAACGTTTTAAGTTCTTTAAAAAGTCTTTTTTGTTTATTTTGCAGTTTTATCAGCTACCTCTTGTGTAAATGAATGTGCAACCCACATTCTTGGGGGTTGGCCTTTTCTTTGCTTTTAGTTTGGGCATTATTACAACCACTTCTGTTCTTGCCCTTATATGCAGGTGGTGGCAGGAAGGTAAAACAGAATGACAGATTCGTATGTGTGTTTTCAAAGGTGAATGGTAGAACTCTATCAGAAAATATACATGGGGAGTGGTATGTGTAGATTTGGGGTGCCTTTATCCCTCTAAATGTTTGTGGCCCTGTCAGTTCATTGAGCAAATATTCAACAAGTGACTGTTCTTCTGTGCATTCAAAGCAAGAGGAAGTAAGGTCTGTCTTCCCCTGCCTCACCCCACCTCTATTCCTTCCCCCATGATGCGTTAAGAGAATACAGAGACATGGGCCTTGGATGGTCTGAATGAGATGAGGTGGACTGTGACCCAGAAATGGGTGGAGGGGCTAGTGCTGTCTTTGGAAACTAACCCAATTCTACTCCTGCAGACAGTCAGCCCTGGACATCTGATGAGACAGTGGTGGCTGGTGGCACCGTGGTGCTCAAGTGCCAAGTCAAAGATCATGAGGATTCATCCCTGCAGTGGTCTAACCCTGCCCAGCAGACTCTCTACTTTGGGGAGAAGAGAGGTAGTGTCCCATGAGTTATCTGCCTCCATGGGAAATGTGGGTTGGGGAAGGGGGCTGCAGAGCTGAGAGGAAATGTCCCTGTAATCCAGAGGCTGAGAAACGTGAAGGGATGCTATTTGGGGAAGCAACAGGCCATGGGCTCCTCAGCTGGTTCCAGAGAAACTTCATAATTACGGCTCTGACCTAGGCCATGCATGGTCTTATAGGGTCCTGGAGTGACTCACCCCAAAGGAGCCCTAAGAGACAGCTGATGTCAGTGTTGCCCCAATGTGGCCCACAAATCCAACCTACTTTTCTGACTATCTCTGAGGCTACTGAGGCCAATGGCCCAGGAAAGTAACTGGATAAACGAAAGACTACTCAAACTCAGGAGCAGTTTTTTTTCTTTCCCCTGCCCCAAACCACACTAGACCCTTTCTTGAAAAAAAAGCTGGCCTGGGATTGGAAGATAAAGATGAAAGTCACCAGTAAAAGCCTTGCTTCCAATTCTCCCAATTTCCCCCAGCCCTTCGGGATAATCGGATTCAGCTGGTTAGATCTACGCCCCATGAGCTCAGCATCAGCATCAGCAACGTGGCCCTGGCAGACGAGGGTGAATACACTTGCTCCATCTTCACTATGCCCGTGAGAACTGCCAAGTCCCTCGTCACCGTGCTCGGTGAGGCTCCCAAACCCCAGTGTCTCCACAGCGTGATTCCTTGCAAACAAATCTCCCTGCGTGGGCCCCTGAAGCAGCCTAGAGCCAAGCAAGTCTCCAAGCATTTTGGGATAGTTCAGCGTGTGTTTCCGTTGCAATGGAATGAAATGCAAAGAGTGCTGGGGTCTAATCTTTTCTCCTTTACTTACTGTTTGCTCTGGGACAAATCTCTTACTCTCCTTGAGCCTGACTTTCCTAACCTGTAACAAAAGGATGGTGGTGTCTGTTCCACTTACCTCCCAAGATTGTGTAAGGGAAACATGAGGAGTAGGTGCAGTGTATGATTATAATTTCCAAGATGAGTACCCCAGTTGTTTGCATGCTCTCATCTTGGTCCTACATTTTAATTTCCTTCTTTGCTCCCCTGAGCCTCACATATATCTGTGGCCACCCAGCTGTGCTTTTGGGTTGTTGGGTCATGTATCATCTCAGGTATGGTAAATCTCCCACCACCATATCTTGTCCTCCTGGGGTGGTCTTTCTCTTATCAAAGAGAAAGATAATTTCTCTAGCCTTCTACCCATCATAAACCAAAATAGAACTCAGATATCCTAACCCTCAGAGAGTCTACCTCGGCAGGGAGAGATGAGGTGTGACCTCAGGGTGCTTGTCTTTCCTATCCCGGCCATCCCCTATCCATGGCAGGAATCCCACAAAAGCCCATAATCACTGGCTACAAGTCATCGTTACGGGAAAAGGATACAACTACCCTAAACTGTCAGTCTTCTGGGAGCAAACCTGCAGCCCAGCTCACCTGGAGGAAGGGTGACCAAGAGCTTCATGGTAAGTTCTTCCTGCTTTGGGGGTGACAGGAGGAGGTGGTGCTGGGACAGCGGGGAGGAGAGAGGGAGTGAGGGGCACATGTCTATATGCCTGTGTATGTGCACATAAGGCATGATATAGAAGAAGAAAGGGGAATGACAGATATTCTGTGTACAGTCGTGTGTGTGTGTGTGTGTGTGTGTGTGTGTGTGTGCGTGCGTGCGCGTGTGTTGGGGACTCCATCCTCCTTGTGTGTACATATCCATTTCACAACTTCCTAAGTCTGCCTGAGTTGAGACGCACCATCTGTATGTCTACAGTGGGGCCCACACAATCTCTGCATGTTAGGGCTCACTCTGTGTCTATGTGTGTGTGCGAGTGTGTGTCTGTTTCTGCTCTCTAGGGGAACCAACCCGAATACAGGAAGATCCCAATGGCAAAACCTTCACCGTGAGCAGCTCAGTCACCTTCCAGGTCACCCGGGAGGATGATGGCGCAGACATTGTGTGCTCTGTGAACCATGAATCTCTAAAGGGAGCTGACAGATCCACTGCTCAACGCATTGAAGTTTTATGTATGTCATGGGCTTGTGAGTGAAGAGGAGCTGGTATGAGATGGGGAACGGGGAAAAGAAACATGTGGGTTACTGTGTATGAAGCACCAGGCACAGATAAGTAAATAGGTTAAAAAAATAAGAAAAGAGTTGCCCAGGGTTAGGCCAAGGGTCAGCAAACTTTTTCTATGAATGGCCCAATAGTCAACGTTTTAGTTTTTGAGGGCCATATGGTCTCTGTCTCAATTACTTAACTCTGCTGTTGCTGCAGGAATGTAGCCATAGATCATATGTAAACAAATGAACATAGCTGTGTTCCAATAAGACTTTATTTACAGAATGTAGCTGGCAGGATTTGGCCCGATAGGTAAATTTACCATCTCCTGGGCTAGGCCAGTGTTATGCATCTAGATTGTAAATTGTAGCAGTAACTGTAGCAAATCGAGAATTAGAAGACAGATTCTAGTCTGCCCTTCACCGCTTACTAGCTGAGTGATGTTAAGGAAATTACCCCACTGAGCTTGATTCTTTATTTGCTAAATGAGAAGATGGACATGGAATCACAAAGGCTTCTTCTTGGTCTAACATACTATGAGTTCAAGAAAAGAGGTGGTAGGAAAACATGCTCTCTCTGGCATCATTATTCCCAGATTTCTCCCTACAGTAGCCCCGCTAGTCTGCCCCAGATCTACGATTTTTCTTGGGATTCTGACCTGAAATGGCCACTGTCAAAATCACTACTCCCAACCTTTCCAAGGATCCTCATCCCTCTATGGAATCTGCCTTGAATATGGGTGGGAAACGACCCACTCACCTGAGGAAATTTACAAATTTTCCAAAAGAACTTTTCTGAGTAGAAAAGTCAAGGGGAGGGCTTCCCTGGTGGCGCAGTGGTTGAGAGTCCGCCTGCCGATGCAGGGGACACGGGTTTATGCTCCAGTCTGGGAAGATCCCACGTGCCACGGAGCGGCTGGGCCCGTGAGCCATGGCCGCTGAGCCTGCGCGTCCGGAACCTGTGCTCCGCAACGGGAGAGGCCACAACAGTGAGAGGCCCGCGTCCCGCAAAAAAAAAAAAAAAAAAGTCAAGGGGAGAAAAATGAAGCAGAAAGGCAGAAGATAATGAGTTATAAAAGAATGTACTTCTTGTCCTAACTTATCTAAAGGCTGGGTGTTTTTCTAAAATAACTCAAACCTTTCATCTCTTCCTTATGGAAGATCCAGGCCTGACTTCAGTGCTCTTTAAATCAGTTGCTAGACCCATTGCCAAAACTTGACCACGAGGTAGGTTTGGGGTGGTGTCACTGTCCGTTTAGCAGACTCTCAATCTGGAAACAGACAACCTGGATTCTAGCCGCAGAGCCACTGCTTACTAGCTATGTCACTTTCACCAAAGCATTCAATCTCGTAGCGGCCTCTTCTTTGGTGAATTTTCATGAGGGTAAATGAAACACTATATAATGAAAGAACTTTGTAAACTTCAAAGTTCTGTATTGCTATAGGTGTTTCTCTGATTACTAGTTCTGAATGTAAAGCCCCTGGCCTTGGTCTCCTTGTCCAGGGCCTGGTCCCTGGCCAGGGCTAAAGAAGGCCCTCCCCTGTCTGAGCCCCAAAGACTCCTCTGTTAGGTACTGGACCATCTGGCAGTTACTCTCCAGGGATCATTTTGGCCCAACTGTGATCAGCAGTCAGTCAACAAATGCTATACTACAGGTGCTGCACTAGAGGCTTCTCTGGCTGTGAGGCCTTGGAACACCCGTTCTCTCACCTGGCCTGATTCTCTTCGTCCCGTTTGATTGGACTGAAACATGTTCATTAACCGGATGTTAAGGTTGGATCTTTCCTTAGGGGAAGCTCGGCCTCTTTATCTGTTGTTCTAAACCGGCATCTGGTTGTATTGTTCTATGCGGCCATCTGGACCCAGCCTCCTAAGCAGCCCTTCGGCATCGGTGGCAGATGCCATCATTCCTTCCCAGAACCCATCTATATTGTGTCAGGGCCTTTTTGCAGCCAAAATATGACCTCCATCTCTTGCTGTTTCAAAGCTCTCACTTCATTTTTGGACCAGCTACTAAAAATGATGTTCTGCATTAAAGCATTGATTCCCGTTTAAGCTCCCTTGCAGAGAGGATGGAGAGGTTGTGAACTCAATCAGTGATCAAATTCAAGTTTATTTGTTCCGTCAGAAATATGTATTAAGTTCCATTTATGTGCTAGGCACAGATGATCCAGTGATCTCCCTTCTCAGCTCTCTGTTAAGACATCCCTTGGGTCCCCTGCAAGGACAGACCTTCCATAATCCTACCTCTGCAAGGTTGCCATATGACTCCCTCACACATCCAACAGCAATAGTGGTCTTTGCTCACAGAGGTTGGGGGGTGGTCTTTGTTCACAGCCTCTTGGGCTCCTAGGCCTTTAGGGGTGGCGGCTGAAATGCATAACTGGATGATTCTGAGATCGAGGTGACCTTGAGTTTCACGTTGACCCCATTTCCTTCTCCACAGACACACCAACAGCGAAGATTAGGCCAGACCCTCTGCATCCCCGCGAGGGCCAGAAGCTGTTGCTCCACTGCGAGGGGCGTGGCAATCCCGCGTAAGGAGATCCATTTCCTGGATTGTAATACACCTCTACAGACTAAGGCTTTGCCTAAAGTCTTCCCATCTCCTTCGTACTGTCTGAGCCTCTCATTTCCCCTGACACTAACAACGCCCATCTTCTGACTGCTTCTCCTGCAAAGCAGCAGAAGTGAGGAGGGGCCGCCCCCTGGCTGAGCCCCTGAGGTTCCTGTAAGGAACCAAGTCACAGTTAGATACAAGCTAGGCAATCTTCCTCGTCCCCAGACTGAACCCCAAGGAATCCCTCTCCGCCTGCCTCTGAGCAGCTCAGTGTCTCTGGCCCCTATAACTGCTCAAACCTTCATCAAACTGTCCTTGACTTCCTTGCTCCCAGGTTTGTTTTGTTTTGTTTTGTCCTTCTTTAGCTCCCTGCCCTACTCTTTTCTGAACCCTTCGATTTCTCTGCCTCAACAGCCCCCAGCAGTACCTATGGGAGAAGGAGGGCAGTGTGCCGCCGCTAAAGATGACCCAGGAGAGCGCCCTGATCTTCCCCTTCCTCAACAAGAGTGACAGCGGCACCTATGGCTGCACAGCCACCAGCAACATGGGCAGCTACAAGGCTTACTACACTCTCAATGTGAACGGTGAGCCCTCCGCAGCTCTCCTCCAGCAAACCCCTTCTCCTCTCCTCTAACATCTGGTACCCCGGTCTTTCCATCTCCTGATAGCATCCCCAGACCGTAGTTGGGAGTGGACTGGTAGGGCAACAGCCCACCACCGGAGGGCCCGAGGACTTAGGCTCTAGGTCCATTTTAGAATGTGGAATAAGGAAAAACCAGTGGAATGGTGGACTTTCATCTGCCTTCGATTAGCAGTGGTGACCCAGGCAACGCCATCCTCCAGCCCCTGCACTCACCTGGCAACAAGAATAAGAATTCTGTGTGTAGAGGCCCCCGAGCCGCTCAAGTGTGAGGGCAGATGCATCTCCCTTTGCAACAGGCTGTCCTCAGAGTTGCTTCTCCCGTGACTAGTACAGGATGCATGCTGCTGCTGTCATCTCCTTTTCTGCAGACCTTGGACACAATATACAGAATCCAGGTGGAAAATAGAGATAAGTTCGTACTATGCTGAGAGATAGTCAGAATCTTTTCTCAGATGCCATATTTTCTAGAGAGACTAGATGATGCTCCTTCTCTGAAGTTCTTCCCAAAGGTGTGACCACACAATCCAGCTTCAGGAGAAATGATAGGCTAGGACAGAGGCCTCTTTATGCAGAGTTGGCAGGAGGTTTTTTGAAGACCCCAACAGCAGTGGGGTCCTGCCAGAAAGCCTTAATAAGACTTTCCTCAGAATAGGGGAAATGCATCGTCAGGGGAACATCAGAGACTCCCTTATGTGAAATGCCCATTAAAGCAGTGTAGGGATAGCAGCCTTGCCTCCCAGGAATAAGAGATCGGAGATCTTGGGACCAAACTGTCTAGATGGGGTGATTCCAACTCCAGGAGCAGACCTCAGCGTGTGGGAGCTGCCTCAGCACAACAAACAAAGCTATTGTAGGGTGCCAGGAGCAAGGACAATGCACTGAGGTCCTGTGTCTGCCCCCAGATCTCTGACGATGATTGGCAGTGAGAGAAAATTCCTGTGCCCTTGCGGTTGGTTTCTTGCTGACCCCCAACCCCACCCCCCCC